CCCTAATAGTTACAGACCTATTTCATATCAGGTGGGTTGTGGTAGTTTATGCCTTTTGAGGGATTGATCCATTTCATCTACATTGTCAAATTTATTTAGAGTTGTTCAAAGGATCTTATTATCCTTTTAATATCTATGATACTGTCATGACTGATATTCCCTTTTTCATTCCTGAGATAGGTAATCTATATCTTTTTGTTAGTCTTGCTAGACATTGGTCAATTTTAATAAACTTTTCCAAGAATCAGCTCTTTCTTTCACTGATTTTTCTCTATTGTTTTTCTGTTTTCAATTTTATTGATTTCTGCTCTTTATTATTTCCTTATGCTTGCTTTAGTTTTATTTTGCTAATCTTTTTCTAGGTTCTTGAAGTGAAAGCTTAGATGATTTAATAGGCATCTTTTCTAATGCATGCATTTAGTGCTATAAATTTTTCTCTTAGCGCCGCTTTAGCTATACCTTAAAAATTATGATACGCGGCATTTTCATTTACATTTTCAATGTATTTTTTGAAATGTAATCTCACTGAAATGTTTTTCGTTGAAATTTCCTCTTTTACTCATAAATTATTTGAAGTGTATCATTTCATTTCCAAGTGTTTGAAGACTTCCCTGATACTTTACCGTTACTGATTTCTAAAATCAAGTCTACTGTGGTCACAGAACTCACTCTATATGATTTCAAGTTTTATAAATTTGTTGAGGCTTATTTTATAACCCAAGATATAATCTATCTTGTATATATTCAGTGAGCACTTCAAAAGAATGTTTTGGTGCTCTGATTGGATAGAGTGTTACATAAATATTAACTAGATGCTGCTGGTTGATAGGGTTGTTGAGTTCTTATATATTCTTGCTGAATTTCTAATTTTTTTTTTTTTTTTTTTGAGATAGGAGTTTGAGATTGCTGTAAGCTAGGCTGATGACATAGCACTCTACCTAGGGCAATGGAGTGAGACTCTGTCTCAAAAAAATAAATAAATAAAATAATAATAATTCTATCAGTTGTTGAGAGAGGAGTGTGAAGTCAGCAACTATAATTATGGATTTGTCTATTCCTCTTTAGAGTTCTATAAATTTTTGCTTCACATATATTACATCTGGATCATTTTCCCTCTCCGGTGTTATATAGTGTCCTTACACACAAGCAGTAATCAGTACTCAACCAAAGACTCAAGAGTTATCCTCTACAGAACTCGAGAATTCCCCAACACTCTGCTCTTCAAATTCCAGTTTCTTTGGCCTCCCGAAATTCTGAACTGCATCTCCTCAACTTGTAATCATGGAGCTCAATCTGGGTTTTCCCTCTCTGCACTGTGACCTGGAAACCACCTCCAGAACATAAGATGGGGCAATCAATCCTAGAGCTCATATCATTCGTTTCCTTTTCTCAGGGATCATTGCCCTGGGCTGCTTTCCAATGTCTAAAAACCATTGTTTCCTATATTTTTTCCCACTTTTTAGTTAGGGCCTTAAAGTAAATTCTGTCCCTATTATTCCATCATGGCCAGAAGCAGAAATCCTCAGACTACCTAGATTTGAATCCTTGTTCTACTACCAACTAGCTGTGTGGCCTCAGACCAATTGCTCAGTGCTTCCATTTTTATAAATGGGGATAATGATTATTTAACTCCTCAGGTTGTTGAGAGGATTCAAAAAAGTATAAATCAAGTGTTTCTCTTAGTAAATTCAAGGTGAATTTGTCTCTTGCCACTATTTCTTCTTTTGCTTCTTCGATTTCTATAACTTCTCATTTATAAACCTAAAATCTATTTAAAAATATCTGCTAAATTAGGTTACTTAGTACTATGATAATTACTCTCAGGTATGAATGGTAGTAATACCATTAATTGGGTATTTACTATGTGTCAGGCATTAAACGTTTTGCACATGAAGTTTTAAGTTCCCAAATCTGTCTTCAAAATTGCTAGATTAACTTTTTATATTCCTAAAAACAACAATAATGTGACCACTGTTAAACTATTCTACATTTCCGCTTTTTCCTTTTATGTACTATAATTGATTTTTC